GAAAGAAGCTAATTAGTGAGTCACTTCATTTGGATGGGATTAAATTGATCTCAAATAATAAAGTAAAAACTCTTAAATCCCATATCAAATAAGTTATATGGGAGGTCTAAGAGAATTACCTTCTTTTATCTGCGGAATATTCCAAAAATTCAAAATCTCCTGTCCAAGGGTGATGCTGAGAAACTAGTCTATGCATTTGTTACTTCAAGGCTGGGCTATTGTAATTCTTTAATATCAGGAAGTCCACAAACTGTAGTTAAATGCCTTCAGCTGATCCAAAATGCTGCAGCCAGAGTTCTGATGAAAATTAAAAAGAGAGATCACATCTCTCCTATTCTGGCTTCTCTTCATTGGCTTCCTGTTAAATACAGAATAGAATTTAAAATCCTCCTTCTCATATATAAAGCCTTAAATGGCCAAGCTCCATCTTATATCAGAGATATGATTGTTCCTAACAGGGCACTTCGCTCTCAATCTGCAGGTTTACTAGTGGTTCCTAGATTTTCTTAAAGTAGAATGGGAGACAGATCTTTTAGTTATCAGGCTCCTCTCCTGTGGAACCAACTACCAGTTTTAGTCCGTGAGGCAGACACCCTGTCTACTTTTAAGGCTAGGCTTAAAACTTTCTTTTTTGATAAAGCTTTTGATAGTTAGAGTGGCTCAGGTTATCCTGAGCTATCTCTATAGTTATGCTGCTATAAGCTTAGGCTGCTGGAGGACATAGGGAGCCTTTTTCATCATTCTGCTTCAGTCTATCTCTATACTCCCTGTTTGGCTGTGACACTATCCTGGAGAGAATTATCAACTACGCTGCTGCCATCAACACCTTTGTTGATAGATGTTGAAGCTTGGCCTTTTTTCAGTGTAGTCCTGTTTCTCTTACTGTGACTAACTGTATATGCTCTCTTTCATCTGCTGACATGGGATATGGCCCGGAGATCGTCTGCCTGGCTTTGTGTTTCCTGGACGGGGCCGCCTGTGGAGCTGGTTGACAGTTGCATTTTGTATGTCTGCTTCTGTCTCCTTGGCCGCTCACACTGATCCTGTTTATACTGGAGGTTTCTTCCTGTTAAAAAGGATATTTCCTTTCCACTGTCACTACAAGCATGCTTGGTGTGAGTGATTGCCTTTAAGTCAACGAGTCGCTACATTCAACTGGTTTTCCTTAGATAGAAAATTTGAATCAATTTGACGGTATGATCTAGTTGCATTGTCTCTGTAAAGTGCCTTGAGATGAAATGTGTTGAATTGGTGTTATATAAAGAAACTGAATTGCATTTTTATTTTATCAATTTGGTATAGTAGCCTTTGTTTGTAATTACAGAGGTCAAATGTTTCCAGTAGTTTTTCACCAGGTTTGCACACACTGCAGGAGGGAGTTTGGCCCACTCCTCCACACAGATCTTCTCTAGATCAATCAAGTTTCCTGGCTGTCCCTCCCTCCAAAGATTATCTATTGGAGACTGGCTAGACCACGCCAAAACCTTGATATGCTTCTTACAGAGCCACTCCCTGGTCATCCTGTCCTTAATACAGTACAGTCACCCTGTCTCATGTGCAGAAAACACACCCAAAGCATGATGGTACCGCCACCATGCTTCACAGTAGAGATTGTGCTCATCATTCTTCTTCCTCCAAACATGTATAGTGGAATTATGACCAATTTCGGTCTCACCTGACAGCATGACTCTCTCCCATGACTCTTCTGGATAATCCAAATGGTCATTTGAAAAATGAAGACGAGGCTTGACATGTGCTGGGAACTAAAGCAGGGGAACTTTAAGTGCCAAGCATGGTTTCAAACCATCTCTTATTACCATCAGTAACCATTGAAACTGTGGTCCCAGCTTTTTTCAGATCACTGACCAGCTCCTCCCGTGTAGCTCCGGGCTGGTTTCTCACCTTTATTAGGATCATTGAGACCCACTGAGGTGAGACCTTGTATGGATTGTTGTATGGGGTGGACAGGTCTTTATGCAGCTAACGCCCTTAAACAGGTTAATCCAATTTAGGAAAATAAATGGAATGGAGATGGACATTTTGAAGGCAGACTAACAGGTCTTTGAGGGTTAGAATTGTAGTTGATAGGTGTGCAAATAATTATTTGCATCTGTATTATACAAATAAACAATTAAAACAAAAATCAAATATTGTGATTTCTGGATTTGTTTTAGATGATTCACCTATGACAATTTCAGACCCCTCCATGATTTCTCAGTGTGAGAACTTGCAAAATAGCAGGGTGTTCAAATACTTATTTTCCTCACTGTATTTATACATCAGTCACACAAACTCCAGTTTACCACAAGCCATGTAGAAGGCCATGGTCACGCGGAGAAAAATCTGAAATACTTTTTTTTTTGAAACACTGTATGAAGTGAATATAGAAACTATCATTATTACAATTACACTTAACTCTCAGTAGCATCATGTTTTGAAGTAGCTTTTTCTCAGCAGAGAAAAAAAATCCATCAGAGGTTTAAAATTGATGCTGGGTCAATGGTTAGGTCCTTCCAAACTTACTGAGCCAATTTGTGAAAAGAATGATGAACGCCATTTAGAATCTGAGGGGATGAATACTTTAGCAAGGCATTATTTGCATCAGAGAAGTAACCAAATTGATAGAAGCAACACATCTTTAGGATTTCCAAAGATCTAAATTCTTAATTAATAGTCTTTTTTAGAACTTTCTCTAATTGTTAAGTTCAGTTAAATTCAATTCAGTTTATTTATATAGCGCCAAATTCACAATACATGTCATCTCAAGGCACTTTACAGTTCAACCAGATCATACAGTCAAATTGATGCAAAGTTTTCTATCTAAGGAAAACCAGTTGATTGCATTGACTCAAATACAATCCCTCACACTAAGCATGCTTGTAGTGACAGTGGAGAGGAAAAACTCCCTTTTAACAGGAAGAAACCTCCAGCAGAACCAGGCTCAGTGTGAGTCACACGAGTGATATATTAAGTATACATTTATGAAAGATATCTTTGAAGCTGATTGATCCTGTCAGCAGTAAATTTTTATTTTTTTTACTTAACCAGGAAGTCCCATTGAGATTCAGAATCTCTTTTTCAAGAGAGACCTGGCCAAGGTAGCAGCCAAACCACAGGAAGTTCATACATATTTGCTTCCACAAATGCTTTTTGTTAAGTCAGAGTGCAACTGCAGATGCCCATGAATTCAATAAGGTGATTCCAAAATATGGTCAAAATTTTCTCAGCCACTGTGTCAAAGCAGAATATGTAACCCAATAATTTCATTGAAAAATATAAAGAAATCTCCAGTTACTTTACAAAAAAAACATTCCATTTCAACTTTGCTCAATTCAGTTTATTTCAATACACTTCAACAAATTAAATCAGAAGTACATAAGGTAGAATTCCATCTGATTATCATAAAATACAGGCAGATGAGCGGACTGTAAACACTAATTTATATAATATTTTCTCTTAAGATGTGATTTAAGATGAATTATTCAGAACTAAGAAATTCTGAGGAAGTTCAAGTCATTAGAAATAAAAGTTAATGTTCTCTAAAGCTCATTTCATTACCGTAAAAGAAAATGACAATAAATAGATATTATGTTAACTTAAATAAAAAATAAATAAGATGGAATATCTTAAAATAAAATCATATTTTAACTTAACATTCTACACAAAAGATGAACCACAGCGTTCAAATTTCTGTTCATCATATGATGCAAAAATACACATGTTTTTAGCACAATTTCAACTTTCAGAAAATGCAGATAAACCTCGTAGGATATCTCTAAAGATTTGTAGATGTAGCTCAGCAATTGCCAGGCAAGCAGGTGTTTCTCTTTTGGCTACATACTTTAAGGTTTTCCAGGAGAACAGGGATGGGCCTGGTAACAGAGGGTTTGGATGTCTTCACAAATTCCGTGCAGTTAACCTGAAAGAAAAGTAATCAAGTTAATTCAAGCTGAAGTTGCTCAGTTGTCACTACTTTTTGGAGTCTTTTGCTAGAGAATCCATGCGGTTGCTAAGGCCAAAACACATAAACATCTTACATTCAATTTGTTGAGGACATGCTTCAGGATGTTCACGAGAGCCTCGTTGTCCTTGGAGTGTTCAAACTTCTCATGCTTGTGCAGAATACTGTGCACTTTGCAAAAGAACTCATCCTATAAGAAAAGTAATTCAATAGTATGTAAACACATTATCTTTTTAAAAATCCTTTCAAAGATGTCAAAATATGCTTTAGGTGATGACAAAAAATTCTTCTAACCTTGCAACCAGCATCAACCAAATCTGACACGTCTTCCACAAAATATTCCTGTCACAAAATAAAACAAGTTCAGTTAAAAAGACTTGCCACATTTGTATCTATAATTAAACATTTAACTGCTGCGTGAAAAGTCAAGATTTAAAAGAGAAAACTCACATTTGCAAAGCTTTTGTTAAATTTCTGAACCCCGTCGATAACCCTTTTGAGGTTGAGTCTGAGGGCTTCAGCAGAAAGGTTTGGAGAAGGAGCTGATCCCACCAGCTGAGCCACAGCAGATAACAGCAGAAGTACAACCACCTCCATGATCACTTGTGAGCTGAGGACGTCTCAAGGAGTCGCTGAAGTTCAGTTTTCGGCTTGTTCAACTCTAAGTTTGCAGTTGCTATAAAGTCTTGACTGAGAGCTCGATATTTATACAGGTTTTGTCCACGCCCATAGTCAAGTTTCTCCATTGCAAAAAAACCTATGTTGTCGGCAGTGATTGTGAGATAAGTTGTGGTTTGACATCATAAAACCTTTTTCTCTGAATTTGAACACTTGTTAGCAGTTAAAATGAGAACCCTCAATTCAGATTGTGAAAGAACCACTGCAGCTTTAGGGTGTCTGAAGAGATTTATTGAAAGATCATTTAACTCTTGAAGATGAAACAAGGTATTTTAAACTATAGTTAGCAGATTTTTAAAGCAACTGGTATAAATTCTGACTTGAAGCCTTCTTTTATAAAATCATTTTTTTTTTTAGAGTTGTTGAAATGCATCATGCAACTGCAGCTAAGCCATTGATATTCAGGAACAATTATCGCTTTCTGTTAGTTTTTTGGTGTTCATCTTTGAGGTTTATTCAAAACATTTTGAAAAAGATATTTTTTTGTTAGCTCATCTTTGTAGATAACAGTAACTTTCAGAACATTTAAATTGTTTACAGCATATTTTAAATTGGTAAATAACAGAAAAAGTGATGTCAGTCAGTATTCTCCAAGCTCTCTAATAACATAGCTGTGAATTTAATTAACCGCAATCAAAGTGTTGGTCTTTAAACTGTGCAAAGTCTCTTGTTCTCTCAATGGAGATATGATGAGAGGGTGGAGATGCTGCACGTGGTGATTTCCGAGTTCTGGTCCTGGTTCTTGCGGATTCGATAGAAGTGCTCAATATAGCTGGAGCGGCCCAGGAGTTCCACAAAGTCTTCATCGTGGGTGATGATAAGCAGCTGGAAGTTACGCTGACGAGAACGACTCTTGATGATTCTGACGGGCAAAGAGATAAAGTTTAGTAGAGCATCCGGAATAATGCCAGTTCCACAGCAATGCAACATTTCTAAATATGAAATCTTTAGAGAAAAACAGTTAAAATATGCATTATCCACAAAGGCACTACCCTGAGTACTTATCAAGTCATACATGTTTGAAATTTTTTTTATTTTTTTATAATTGCAAAGTATTCTCTGATATGTCACAATTAGAACAGAACTGTATTGTTTACATCCTGACTTCTAGGGCTGAAGAGCACATCAAATCCTTACGGCCATGTCAGTGTATGAAAAAGCAAACAGCAGTTAAAATGAAATGGGTGGGAATTACAGTTTTGTTCGAAGCAATAAGAAAGCATTGGAAACACTCCACGTTCATTTCCAAATCCATACGATAAAGAATTATCTAATTTGTTGCCACTTAAAGAGGCTCTTCAAAAAAGAGGAATGTCAATCTTTTCTTCTTTAAAAAAACATTTTTCTTGTGCTTCACCTTTGCTGTATACAATTAATCTATACATTTTAACCCAAGATTTCAGGACTGTGTTTTACTTTTCCCTAAGCGTTTATTCTTTATTCCCTTATAAAAAGCACCTTTTCAATTCAATTCAGTTTATTTATATAGCGCAAATTCACAACACATGTCATCTCAAGACACTTTACAGTTCAACCAGATCATACAGTCAAATTGACACAAAGTTTTCTATCTAAGGAAAACCAGTTGATTTCATCGACTCATTGACTTAAATGCTTCACACTAAGCATGCTTGAAGTGACAGTGGAGAGGAAAAACTCCCTTTTAACAGGAAGAAACCTCCAGCAGAACCAGGTTCAGTGTGAGGGGCCATCTGCTGAGGCCGACTGGGGTTAAAGGAGACAGAAGCAGAGACACAAAAAGCAGCTGTAAAAGGCGGCCCTGTCCAGGAAACACACAGCCAGACAGACGAGCTTGGAGCCCGCTCCCATGTGAGAGGATGAACAGAGCACATCCTGTTAGTGGCAGTCAGACCAGCCAATCACAGTCATCCTAGTACATCATTTCTATTGAATGAACACAATGGAACTTGTCTAAAACCTGTCGGTCTGGAACAAACATACTGCTTTGCTAATTACAAAAAAGCTTTGGTGGATAGACAAGACATTGTGGTGATAAAACTAGTTGAGTGAGAAAATGTGGTTTAATCTCAACTGTAAGCTATTTTTCACTAACACTGTGTAGGTGCAATCTCTTTAGATATCGCTTCAGTTTAGGGCTGACAGTTATGTAAAAATATAAAATATACTAACTCCACGAGGGCATGAGCCAGAGACTCAATGTTCTCTCTGTCCAGGTTTGTGGTGGGCTCATCCAAGGCCAAAATCCCACAGTTCAGACAGAACGTCTCTGCCAGGGCAAGACGGATGATCAGGGATGCCAGCACCTGCAGATGTATGACCATGATTAAAAGGTGGGCACAAAGATAAAGTAAGAGCTTAAACAGAACAGTTACATTATTTCTAGACATCTTGCCTCTAACTGTACAAAACTGTGTGTTAGACAAAGAAATGAACAGAAAACATTTCTTTATGTTACATTAAAAATACTAAAATAATATTACCAGGCAGAAGATGAAGAACAGGCCTTAAATTTATGTTAAATGTTTCACATAACACTTACACAGCAACAACAACCTAAAGCCCCCGTCACACCTTGACGATTTAGACAGCATTCGTTCAGAAAGTTATGACAACGCTGAAGTGCGCTGGCACACGTCAACATACGGCAAGTACGTTGTTAGCTCTAAATTTATTGACGTAAGTCAGCATATCCATATACATGAGTCATAAGTTACAGGTAAGTTATCTGATCGTAAACATGCATTAAGTGTAAGTTACTCATAAGTTGTGGTCTCTAACTATACAAAACATATGAGTAACGTGCGTAACTTATGCGCAAGAACTTATTTCCATCGTATATCAACGTATCTGACGTGTTCCAGATGACCGCTGAACGTGTTTCTTACTTACAGCTACTTTATAATGGAGTATTGGCAGCATTTTGGTATAACGGGGGGTTTACAGGAGGAAACCATCAGACTGCATCCCCATCATAGGGTGAGAGAGAAGGTGAGTGTGATGGATCCTCCCTGTGTTCACGCCCACAGCCAACCAACACATTTCCTCGTTGACATCATGCTAAATCTGCTGCGACCGCAAACCCTCTTTCTTTTTCTTGATTTATTTATTCTTCTTTTTTCTTTGTTATTTAGCGGGCGATAAACAGCAGCTCGGTTGATTCAGTGATCAAATAAATCTTTTTACGCAGGCCAGGCACCTCCGGGTGCATTGATCATTTCATGAGCATTACGCTGCCGTGCATTATGCATAAGTTCGGCTGTCGTTGGACATCATTTCTGGACTCGTCATGAATACTCTATGTATATGCCCAAAACTGAAAAAAAATACATAGAAAGTTCAGCGTAAATCGGCAAGGTGTGACAGGGGCTTAAAATGAGTAAACATTTCTTAAAATAATCATGTTTACCCTTAATTTGAGTAGATAAACAAGATTATCTGCTAGTAGAATATGTATTTGTATTAAATAGGATAATGATGCACATAAAATAGGAGACTGCAATTTTTGTTTTTGCTGTGTAGTGCTTTTGAATTTAACCGTGACAATTCTATCCTTTTCAGATGTTGCAGATGGTTAGAATATGATACAGACACTTGGTATATCCCCATAACTTCCTGCTTTACTGATTTAATCATCACCAGCCTTTCTTACATTTAAGTTTTAAAAAAAAGTATCATCTGCATCAAAGACATACGTGGATCGTCTCTCCTAGGTCGCAGTAAAAACTGTTGTAAACGTATTTGTGGTCTGGCTGGTTTTATTTGCATGAAGCCATGTTGGCACAAACACATAAGTGGCATTGTTGGTACCTTCTGGCCAGCGCTGCAGCGTCCTCTCATATCCAAAGCTGTATCTCCTTTCACCATAACTACTCTGTAGTTGTAAACCCTCCTCTTTACTGCAGCCGATGAATTCTCATCCACATCCGACCTGATCTCCACATACTCGATATCTGAAGCCAAGAGAAACGTGAAAAACAGGCTAAATGGAAGTAGAACATTAAAGAACCATTTCCATTTGTATACATTTTATCAAAAGCTCAGGTTAATTTTAATAAGAGAAGCACCTTGACCCCTGTATGTGCTGCGCCACAGGTCTCTAATAATCTTATTGATCTCATCCATTTTCATACTGTGGAATTTCATGATGGTTCTGTGGAAAGCAGAGAAAAAAGCAATAGTTGAACTCAATGCCAAGTGGAATGCTTAATAAACTTAAAATACATTTCTAACAACAGGGATTTTAAAATCACTTCCTCTCAACAAGAAAAAAGTGCCATCTCATCAAAGCTGAAATGTAGGTCAAACTAGTTCACTGCCACAAATGTGGCTTCATTGAATCCGTTTTCTCATATCTTGGTTACAAAAGGAAAACGACAGCAACTTTTTTTCATTTAAGACGGATATGTAAGAAGATGTGACTTGGTTAATAAGATATGCAAAGAGAAGTATGGATATCGTCTTCCTGCATACCAAGAAGTTTTTGTCTATGATCTAGCAATTTGATGAAAAAGTCCGGTGTGGTTAAACAAAGGCAAGCGATAACAATGCAACATGCAGAACCTCTTCCTATCACCATAAATGAGGGTTAATGAATCACACAGAAAGGCTGAAACTTGAGGGAATAATAACTTATTGAAAATCTGACCTAGTGCCTTATGTAAGCAACTGCTCTCTCAACCGTTGTTAGAAATGACTGCCTTTAGTGTTGCCATAACATGAGTCAACCAAAAAAAGCAATATCTATTCAACAGCTAAAATGAACAAAATGATTATTTTAATAGAATATAATAAACTTTGTTCTCATTTCTAATGCATACCAGCTTTAAGGAGTAGCTACGAGCTTGGGGTAATCAAAAAGAGTTTGAACCAATTTAGCTAAAAATCCACTCGGGCGTTATATTCAGAAAGGGAATAACTAAATGTATTCCAGTGTCAAATTAATAAAGAAAAATATACTGACCTTTGGAAACAAATCAAAGATTTAATGAATATGTATTACAGCTTTTTAAAGGCAAATTAGTTTTAATGCAGGCATTACAGAAATTCTAGACTCTAAACTCATAGCTTAAAAGCCAGGAAAGAGCAGGGCTAGAGGCTGTGACCCATTATTGGTAAATGTCCTCAAAAGTAATGATGTTTTTACTAGTCTTTGAACAGCTAGAGACTAAAACTACTTTTTTTGGCCATTTTTCTTTGCAAAACTGTTAAAGTTGCATTTCATCGAGACTGTCTGTGAAGAGAAATCAGATATAAAACAGATTAAACAAAAGAGATAAAACAAAATCTTCAAATCACAGAGGCAATCAGTTTTGGTGACTTTACAATTAACTAGAGTGGGACGATACATTTCTCACTCTAGCCCTGGTAATATGCTTAAAGTGGGTTTGTTGCCAAACAGAAGAGAAAAGTGAGTTGAAGTTAACAAGAAAATACAGGCCTGCATGAAAAGTTACAGTAAAGTTCTGTAACAATGAATTCTCGACAAGCAAGCTTTAAGATCATGAACAAAAGTAAACCCTAAAATTAAACATCTACATGTTTGCAGTTAGTGCAAAGATTTTCGGTAAAATTGTTCAGCCCTAGCAGGAAGGCTAACCTCCAACAGGGTTTCTATTAGGATGGCAATATATTTTATAAGAGAGAGAAAAAATATCTTTTCAGCCTGATGTCATGGTCCCTGTGGGTCTTTTGCAGCTTTTCTGAGTAACTGCTATCTCTTGGCAGAATTGCTTTTGTGACTCGCTCTTAACCCCTTGATGACTGCATATATAACGTTTTTTGCTTTTAAGTAGTTGCAAAACTGAATTTTGTTTAACTTTCTATAAAAAACAAAACAAAAAAAAAACGTATCTATAATACAAGCTTTCAACATTCGTGATCAATGGAAAACATACACCGTTAGGGACCAGTCGTTAACTGGCAGTGAGTGAATGCACCCGCTATCTTGGCTATATACATAATACAAAGGGTTTGTTGCATTTTTGCAACAATGAGCGTTAGTGGAATAAGACTTTCCTATAATGGATCCAACTGTTCTCCAAGGCAGAGGTTCCCAAATTTCCCATGCCCCAAATTAGATTGTTTTTTAAACCATTTGTTATTACCCCCCTATTTTCTCTTAGGCTACGTTCACACTGCAGGCCTCGATGCTCAATTCCGATTTTTTACGTTGCCGTTCTCATTTCCAAATATATGCGACTTGTATGTGATCTCCTGTGTGAACTGCAGTCATACAAAGCAAGTGTCCCGCATGCGCAGTAGACGACGCAATGACGTCACAGGCTAGCATGCTCTGTGTTTACGGAAGTAAACATGGATGGTATTGCCGAAACACATCTAGCTATCTTTCCCAACCATAAAAACACAATATTTTCAAGAAGGTTAAAAATAAATACTGCTCTCCGCATCATCGTCTGCCATGGTTGTTGGTTTTCTTGCCGCTTCTTTATAGCAAGATCCAGAATAGTGACCTTTGTTGAGTATTAATGATGTTCAGGTCGGATGAATGCGACCTGGCCGTTCAGACACAGGTCGCATTTGAAAAGATCAGATTTGTATCAGATTCAGGACCACTTAACCAAGTGGCCTAAGTCGCATTGGAAAAAATCGTATCTGTGTTGTTCAGACAGCCATGAAAAGATCAGATCCAGGTCGCATATGGGCAAAAAAAAATCGGATTTGGGTCACTTCAGACTGCAGTGTGAACTTAGCCTTAGATGTGTTTAAAGCTAATCTTTTAAGGCATTTATACATCTGCATTTATAAAGAAATGAAATGACCTCAATCCAGTGAACAATGGTTTGTATCTATATCTGGATGTCACAATGCTGAGTTTAAGGCTTGGTGATGTAAATCAGGTCACAACATTGACATAATGTGGTACCAGTGCAACAAGTGATTTATCAGAATAGTATCAGAATAGGGAAGGATGTGACGTGCTCATGTTTACAAGTAAAATATTATTTTATGAACTGGACAGAGCAATTCTATCATGTATCCTCACAATAAATAACCCGATTAATTTTACATGTATATTAAGCTCGCATTCCAAAGTTTGAAGAAAAGAGCAACCGCGCTCCACAGCTGCAGTCTGCGTTTTAAGAGTGAAGGTAGTCTTTGACGTGCTGCAACTGTATAATCATCACAGGAAGCGGTGGCCTATCAATAATAACGTAACGTCTTTCCCTATGCTTACCCAGGCTCGCAGTTCTGAATTTGAGAACATGTCAGTCATTTCAACTTTATTCTCGAAATGTTGAGTTTAATGTCGACATGTCGTCTTTAAAGTCGACATGTCGAGTTTAATCTCGTCATGGCAAAAATATTTTTTCTCTTCATGTGTGGCCCTAATACTCTGTCGTACTCACGACATTGTGGTATAAAAATGTAGGTGTAAAAATAATTTAAATATATTAAATAAATAAAGAAAATACATTGAAAATACAACATTTATCTTTAATAAATCAAAATGTAATCCCTATTCTCATAAAATGCTCTAATTACAAAAATATAAATAAACACTTTAACCTTCAAAATAGTTGAATATTTTAAAGATCGAGCATGTTTTTAACTTTTGTTCTAAAATAGATCAAAGGATCTTAGAAATTCAGGCAACGCTTAAAGCTCTAACAGCAAAACAATACAAGGGCATATTCTGTGACCCAATAACCTTTTTTTTTTTAGTTAGTTTCACTTTCTAAGATGTGATTCAATACCAACTAAACTACACAGAAGTAAGCAAAATGGTAAAGAGAGTGAATTAATAAAGAAGCTCTTGCAAGAAATATGGCAAACAAACTAGTAAAAAATACAGGCAAAAATTATTTTGGAGATCCAGACCCCCTCGATTATGTTGTTTCTAAAAAAATAAATACAAAAATTCTGATAAAAAATTCTGAAAAGCTTTTCTTATTAACTTAAAAATACCTTGAAGTCAGAATAAAGATGCAAATGTTATATACAACAGGAGACAGTTTGTAGCAATAAGGAATTTGAATCCACAATAACTAGCACTGGATGTTAGAGAGAAGAGAAAAACATTTAACACTAAATAATGGGTTTCATTTCGTCATTTTTTGTTGTATAGGGAAAGGCTTTAATAAAAGTATCTGAAATCTTTCTAGTCAATCCAGAAGTGTATTTTCTTGTTGAGTGTTTATCACTGAAACATAAGCAGTAATGGAAACTATTGTCTCGATTTTCTCAAGGTTTCTCTATAGCAGATTTTTGTTTCACAAAGTAGGTGACTCATTTAGACTTTTTTTAAACCCTAAAAATCTACATGGTCTGTTAAAAGACTTTCTGGGCTTGCTTTGCATCTTGATTACACTGCAGATGATGATGCTCATAACCAACCCACATACATCGGTAAACTATGCTGTCGCACATTTCTCAGATGTTATCTGGGTCTGTAAATGCCCACCTTTCTCAAATTTACTCACCAAAATCTGAGAGAACTAAAGAACCAGAATCGTTTACGGCCATAGATAAAACATGCATTAAGCCACGGCTAATTCCAGCTGCAAAAAACAAATGGGGGAAAGGTTACAAAAAACAAGAATGAAGCCAGTGAGGAGGGTAACAACACCCCCAGGGGATTGGGTGAATAGGAAATTCTTACTTTTTCCTCTGCTAGAAGACGTATTTTCGTTGATATCTTTTGTTTAAAAAAGTTATTCAAAGTACAAGTTAGTTGTGATGTTCAAGTGCTAAATCAATATGTGAATATTTATTAAATATATAGTTAAAATATCTGATAAGGTGTCCTTGTTTTTACATAAAAAAACCCAACTATTTACTTACTATGCTCCACCCTCATAACATACAGTCAATTTGGTTATTTTGACGCAATGTGTCAAACACACAGTGACTGTGTGTTGCTGTGAAAAAAGTAACATAATTAGCACAGCGTGCACATAAATGAAAGTAGCGAAGGGCATTATTTTTTTCTTCAGATAGCTTAATTTGCCTCCAAAATAAACCCTAACAGGAAACTGGAGTTGTCTTTGGAATTTGCAAAACTGGTTTCAAAGAAAAGTAGGTAAAATAATAATAACATAAGTATTTAACAAAACCAGAGTTTTAAAAGATCAGTATTATGCTTTTATTACTTTATGATTATGAAAAAAATAATAATTTTAGTCTTGCCCT